ATAAAAAAGTTCGCTTCTGGGATATAAGGTATATTATACTTTATCACTAATGTTATAATTATATTTGTTATAGTAATGAGTTTTTTTTTTGTGTGTTTATGGTTATTATTAGCATAATGTTTTATGAGAGTATATGCACAGTAATGTGCAAATTCTCTGTGATTATGATGATAACTCTCCATTATTACAGTGATAATTCTTTTTAAGATGTGATCAAAACTCTAATGAGATTCAGCTTCAAGGCAAAGTTGCATCTTTAGACTTGTCCCAAGGTAATAATGTAATTTGTTGAAAAAAATTTTTTAGCTTGTCATATATATACATAGAGTACAATACATATTTTTACAATCTAGTTTCCCTTCATAATTTAACATTAAAAATATTAAAAATATATGGCATACATGCCATATACTTCTAACGTTAATGTACATTCTACAGTTTGCAATGAACTTAATATTAATACATACAAGAGAAAAAACAGTTAGGTACTTGACATGCAAAAACTTTATCAAAAATGTTTTCTTTACATGACAGGATAATGATCCAAGGTAATGATAAATCTAAGTGCATAAAAATTCATTTTTGGAGAAGTTCAAATATGACATGGCCATCACAAGTTTTAAATTAATACAAATTAAACCATGGAAACTTAATATATAAAAAATTTAAATACATATGATAATTTAAATAAATTTTTTTTAACAATAATGTTTTTTTTTGGTTGTCCACTAAAATAAACAAGTTTTGCTTATTTTAGCGGACGAGAAAATAAATACTTTTTCCAGTAAATAATAACTTAGTTTTTTAATTATAATAATTATAATTAAAAAACTATATATAAAAAATTATAGCTTTACTTTATATATCGAATACATTAATTTATAAACTTCGATATGATCTTAATATGCTTAAACCAAAACTTTTAGAATCTGTGTTTGTGGAAATCATAATTCCTAAAAAATCAAACATCATTATTGGCTGTATTTATCGCCATCCTAGTATGGATATTTCAGAATTTATTAAATCATATTTAATTCCACTTTTTGAAAAGCTATGTATGGAAAAAAACAAAACTACTTTTTTAATAGGCGATTTTAATGTCGATCTTTTATTAGCAAACTCAGATAATTTTGTCTCTGAATTTTTAGACACTATTGCTTTAAATAACTTTCTTCCCTTTATTTCATTGTTAACAAGAATCACAAATCACTCCAAAACTCTAATTGATAACATATTTTCTAATGCAACTTCTACAAATATTTTTGCCGGTAATTTTACTTCTACGGTATCAGATCATTTGCCCCAATTTTTAATACATTCTCTTTATAGAACCAAAATTAATTCTCGTAAAAGCTGCATTTTTCGTCGAAATCTAAAACAAATAAATTGCGTTGAGTTATGTAGTGATTTCTCAAAAATTAGCTGGATTAATGTAATTAATGTCAACGAAGGTAAGACTAATAAGTCATTTGAAGAGTTTTTCTCAAGTTTCAATTCTCTTTTAGATAAACATGCACCATTGAAAAAAGTCAGCAATCGTTGCTTATCAAGGGGTCTCAAACCTTGGATAACACGAGGAATCTTGACTTCTATTAAAATGCGAAATAAAATATTTAAAAAATTTCTTAAAGCAAAGAATCCTAATAACAAACTCAATCTAGAAAAATCTAATAGAATAATAAATCTAATATAAATATAAAAAAGGATATAGAAACTTACTTGTTACTCTCACCCGTCGTAGTAAAAAGAACCATTACTCTAAGTTCTTCTCTGACAATGCCAAAAATTTGAAATCTACATGGAATGGTATTAAGAACCTTTTAAACATTAGTTCGAGAGTTAACTCATCTCCTTCATGCTTATCTTCTACCAACTCCATGATACACGACCCCATTAAAATTTCGGAATCTTTTAATTCATTTTTTGTTTCAGTTCCGGATGATTTACAGAATAAGATCCACTCATCCAATAGTGACTTTAATAAATATCGTAAAAATCCTAATCTTAATTCAATGTTCATAAAACCTACAGACAAAAACGAAGTATTATCGATTATTCATTCTCTTAATGACAGCAAGGCTTCTGGACCTAACAGCATTCCAATACCTATTTTTAAAGCTCTTGCAAATGATATCTCTCCTGTACTTTCTGAACTATTTAATCTGTCATTCACAACCGGTGTATTCCCTGATATTTTAAAAACTGCTTCTGTTATCCCAATTCATAAAAAAGACTCAAAACTTGAACGTAATAACTACAGACCAATTTCATTATTATCAAATGTCTTTTAGAAAAACTTATGTATTCTCGTATTTACAATTTTTTAAATAATTCTGCTTGTTTTCATATTCGACAATTTGGGTTTCGCTCAAATCACTCCACTTCTCACGCTCTTATTAGCATTACTGAAATGATTCGTGGTGCAATTGACAGTGGTTCTTTTGCTTGTGGTGTATTCATAGATCTTCAAAAAGCTTTTGATACGGTTGATCACAACATTCTAATAAAAAAGTTAAACTACTACGGAATACGTGGTATTGCTAATCATTGGTTTTCTTCATATATTACGGATCGCACTCAGTTTGTTTCAATTAATGGATTTGAATCCACACATAAAGTTATTAAATATGGCGTTCCACAAGGTTCCGTTCTTGGACCATTGTTGTTTTTATTATATATAAATGATTTATCTTGTTCGTTAAAAAATTCTATGATACATCATTATGCTGACGATACCAATCTTTTATATATCAACAAATCCCTCACGACTATTTGTAAAAAAGTTAATCAAGATCTTCATCGCTTATGTAACTGGTTAAATAGTAACCGTATTTCCTTGAATGTCAATAAAACTGAATACATTATTTTTCATTCCCCTCAAAAAACTATTGATCATATTAAAATTAAAATTAACGGTAAAAAACTTTTTCCATCAAAATATATAAAGTATCTTGGAATATATCTTGATGAAAACCTATCTTGGTATAATCAACTGTATCATCTAAAAAAAAAACTTACACGAGCTAACAGTATGCTTTCTCTAATTCGTTACTATGTTCCTATCCAAACTCTTCGAATGATTTATTTTTCTTTATTCTCTTCTCACCTTTGCTATTGTTGTATTGTTTGGGGTCAAAAAAAAAACTTTTTACTTAACAACATTGCTAGTTTACAACGCGCATCTACTAGAATAATGACGTTTTCCCCAATGAGATCTGATATCGAAAAAAAATTTTCTGAACTAAAAATCCTAAAACTCCATAATATTGTAAAGTTTTACAATTGTCTTTTTGTGTTTGACTTTCTCCAAAATAAACTACCAAGCCCTTTTTCAAATTTTTTTATTAAAACAAACAAAGTTCATAATCATCACACCAGGAATACAGAAAATAGTAAGCTATACTATTCTTTTTTCAGCACAATCAAATATGGTAAGTTTTCCATAAAACAACAATGTATCTCTCAATGGAACCAGTGTATTCCTGCATTAACAAAAAAGCCTAAGAAAAAATATCCACTTGTTACGAATATTTTACTGCTTAACAGAATTCAATTTAAAAATATATTGTTGGAGTGTATTTCTTTATAATTTCTCTCTGTACTATAGTTGTCTTGTGGTTTGATTTTTATTTTATTTATTATATACCAATCTTATATTTATTTATTTTTGTGTTATTAATGTTACATTTTATGTTATTATTATATCTAATTATCATCTATGATATGAACATACAATTTATATTGTATTATAATATTCTTAATATTATTGGTACTTTATTGTTATTGTTATTATTTTGTATTATTACTATTATTATTACATATATCATTATTGTTTGTTTAACAAGCTTTTCTTCTTTTCTTTATTATTTATATATACAGATATTAAGTTTTTCCTTTTTTTTTTTTTTTTTTTTTTTTTTTTTTGTTTACTTCAGTTTCCTTTTTTTTTTTTTTTCTTTCTATTTATTTATTTTTTTCGTGAAATTTTTATGTTTTTTAGGTGTCACTCCATTGACTAGTTTGTAACTATATGAGTGACACCTAACCAATTTATATTAATTTACGATGAAATTTGTAAATTTTATTGATATGGTTGAATAAAAAAAAAAAAAAAAAAAAAAAAGAAAATATATATATATATATATATATATATATATATATATATATATATATATATATATATATATATATATATATATATATATACATATACACTACACACACTTATATATAAATATCAAGTTTATTTTGATTTATCAACACAACTTTGTCCACTTTAAACCAATTATCATATGCAAGTTTTTTTTATGTATACATGGTCATGTAATAAAGTGGGCCATGGCAGCTTGTATCATAAAGATATATATATATATATATATATATATATATATATATATATATATATATATATATATATATATATATATATATATATATACATATATGTATATAAATATACATATATATAAATATATATATATATATATATTCAACCCACGGAATTGGGTTTAGCATTTGGCAATGCCGACCTAAAAATGTTTGCAGTCGGCAAAAAATTGCCTACCTTGTTTTGATGTTTAATGGTAAGACCTTGGTATCAAAATTTTTTTGCCGACCCAATGCCGACCTCTAAAAGATTTAGGTTAGCAAAATATTGCCGATCTCAATTTTCCCAATTCTGGTTTTCCCTAGTTTCCCGTATATATTTTGAATTAGTGGTTGCATTTGAAAGTTATTTATTTGTAAATGATTGCTTATATATATATATATATATATATATATATATATATATATATATATATATATATATATATATATATATATATATATATATATATATATATATATATATATATATATATATATATATATATATATATATATATATATATATATATATATATATATATATGTATATATATATATATATATATATATATACACATACACACACATATAGCTTTATTGAATTTATTATCGTATGTTTAACATATGTTTAGCATGCTCAAAAAATAATTCAACTAACCATCGATTTAAAAGCAAAAGATGATTTAATTCTACAAAAAGATTTAATGTATGTAACTTTTTGTTTTTGATTTTAAAATCTGTTATCAGATCTTTTACAACTTAATAAGTTTTATAATTTTAACATAAATATATGCATAATTAACATCATTATATGCATGATTAGTATTCGAGAAAATCAAAATCAAATGGATAGTGTTCTTTCAGAAAATGGACGGCTAAATTCACTAATTGCTGACTTGGACGCTGCTAACCAGGTTGTTTTTATAGTAACCAGGTTTTTTAGTATAGCAGTTCTTTCTTTTTTAAAGTTTAATATCTATATTTCTGCACTTCTGTAGTTTAGATGATGAAATTTGCTTGTATGTTTTTTAAATCTTAACATACGCATACTGTGAAATTAGTAACATTAATGTTCTATTAAACTAAAAAAAGAAACAATTTTCATAAAATATCCAATAACATAAAATATTTATAACAAATACTATTTTTCTCATTTTTTACCAATTCATTATGCTTTGATAACCAAATAAATCGTTTATTATCTCATACATTTATTAATGTACTAATTTTGTTTATTACCACCTAAAAAAAAGTAGTATAAAATAAGAATAAAAAAATTTGTATCATTTAAGTAACTGATAAGATTTTCAATGTTTCTAACATATGCTTTTTACTGCTTTTTACTGTGACATATTGAAATGTTTTTTTTGTATCAAGTTTTAACATTTTATTTTTAAATTCAATTTTTGCTTTTATAAAACTTTCTCTTAAAGATGATCCACAGACAGTTAGGGATGACTCAGGGAATAACAATTTATTAATAAAACTAATGCTTTGTTAATGAATTGTTAAGGGAAATAATTAGAAATACGGTTTGTCATTAGGGGCTTAATAACAGTTTGTCATTAGGGGCTTTCATTAGGGGTTTTGCAGTTGCTTACCTGGCTCTCCTTTAAACTGATTAAGACCACTAGTTTTTCCATCTAAGGAACAAAAATAGTGGTGTCTATGTTACATGGCGACAGTTTGTTACAATGGAATAAAGAAACTAACATTGCAGTGATCTTGCTTTTTATTATCCATCAATGAAATAACACCATTGTTTTATTTATCATCTCCAGTATTTAAAACAGTTTTATCATACACATATAAAGTTCGATAAAGTTCCTAATTTGTTTGTTATGTTTAATATCTATAATATCCCCTATAGTACCAGGCCCTAGTGTTAAACACCCACAAAATTTTGAGTATTGTTCTTCTATTACTGAATGTAGTAAGCATTTTGTAAAAATAGGTTGCATTTTTTGATTGTCATGTCCTAGCTGACTTGATGCATTGAATGCATTTTTTCTTGTTCTTTGATTTTTCTTGACTACTTATTATTTGGTCAATGTCTATAGTTTTTTCACCATTATTTATTAACCCAAGTCCTGCAAAGCAGCCCTTGCTTTTGCTGCTGCAGCTATATGACATTTTTTTTTTGCGATCATATATTAAGACAACAGGCAGCTGTTTATTTGAGTATTTTGTTACAATTGAGTATTTTTATGATTCTTTATTTGTAATCCTAAAGGACTTTCAAAATTTATCTCTTCGTGTAAAAAACTTTTATCCTTAACACTCGGTGTAGTTAAGAGGATTTTAGAATATTAAAATATAATAGGTTTTTAATAATTTTATGATATTTTGCTGACTGCAACATATTTTTGTTGAATGATCAGATCTGTGAAATAAATACATTATTTAGGTGAAATGAACATCATGGTTTAATAATTCGATCTGTTCTAATCGTTTATTGGCAATTTTTATTAATTATAAACTCTTTCTTTGTGAAAATTGATAGAAATGCTGTTTTTTGACACATTCAATTATTATTAAAAAAATCTTTTTAAAATCACGATTGCTTGTCCAAATTTAAATAAATTTTTAAATAAATGCATTGTCTTGATGAAATTATCTAAATGAATATCATAGTTTAATATGTTCTACGCTCTTTCTTGGTCAGAATTTTTTTTTGTAAAAGTTTTTAAAAATGTTGTGTTTTGACAATTATATTCAATTAATATATACATATATACAATATATATATTATATTATAATATATACAATTAATATATTAATATATACTATATACAAATAATAATTAAAAAATAATTAACAAAACTAGATTAGAGCTAGGATCTTTAGTAGATTGAAGCACTTTTTCAAAATTTTTAAATTAAAATTTAGTTAATGCTGTTAAACAGAATTGATTTAAAGACTCAAAATTGGTGTTCTTTACATTCACAATAATGGGTAATAAAAATGTTTTGAAAGTAGTATAAAAAAGGAGAAAAGTTTCTTTAAAAATTATAAAAACTTAAATCAAAAACAATTGTAGCATCTAAAGCTCTTGTTTAAATATAATACGCTGACAAAATCATGCTAATTTCAAATCAAAAATTTGAATAGTTTATAAATTGTCTTAACTACACCTTGAAGTGGGCTTTTCTGTCACTTTTTTCTTGTTCTAGAGTGCTTTTGTCAATATCGTTAAGTGACCTATTTTATGAATCTTATTGAATAAATTTAAGTTTCCTCTGAATTTCTTTACTTTTTGGTTATAAAACAAATTGTTTAATATTTAAAAAACTGGAAGCAATACTCTGCAACATTTGTGGATAATAGTATCTATATATTATATGTTGTATATGTATTTATATGTATCTATATTGTGATATCGCTTGATGGTTAAAACTAGAGCTATATCTGGTCGTCTGTGATCTTCTAACATTCTTGATTAATAAAAACACTTTTGGCGAGTGCTTTTAAAGTTAGTTCAGTATTACTCAATGTCAGCCTAATTGTGAACCTAATAGTGTTAGAGGTTGATAATTTTTTGTCAACCTCGTTTCTATGTTGTTGTTGTGAAAGTTTAATTGTTCTTAAATAAATTTAGTTTAATTATTTAGTTAAAAAATGGGATAAACTATTTCTATAAACTATAAACTTATAATTTTAATTTATAATTTAAAAATTATTAATTTTTATTATTATTATTATTTTATTTTGTTGCTATTGATTGGCTATTTATAGAGTCTATGTATATTTTTGTCTGTTAAATTTTTTCTGTAAAGTCTTCTATTTTAAATATTTTTTCAAGAGTTTGTTATTTTAGTTGTAAAATCTTTTGAAAATGTAAAAAAGAAAACATGTTAAGAATAAAAAACATTTATTTGAATAGGCAATTAAGGATGAACACCAGGCTCTTCAAATGCTCTGCAATTTAACAGAAGAAAAGTATAAAAATCTTCAGTTTGAATACTAAGAGTTGGTAAGTTGATTTTTAACTGAAAGTTATGTGCAATAGTATAAACATGAGAATAAAAATTTAATGTTTATTCTTCATTGTGTATATTATTATTTCAAATTAGAACTTTGCAGTACACTCAATTTTTTAAGTAATACATGCAAGCAACTGTGTGTTCTAAATTAAGAAAAAATGTTAAAAAGTTACTAAAATTATTCTATTTTTAAAGTATGTGAAAAAAAAACGGTTTTGTCAACAAAGCTGTAGTTATCAATCCAAAGGAAAAATATTTCTAACTAACCTGTTTTTTTTTTTTTTCTGTATTTAGGTAAAACAAAAAAAAATATGATAAGAAATGATGATAAATACTAAAGGGTCAAAAATAAAAAGTAAACAAAAAAATCACTAAATAGATAAAAAATGTTTAATAAGATAATTATTTCTAAAAAAATTAAATTAAAAAATACAAATTGTTCTTTTGTAATTTTTACCTTGAAATCATTATCAACTAAAAAAATTTGTTACAGAGCTTTTTTTTTAAATTTAAAATTTAATAGACACCTGCGTGAGCACCTTGTCTTTGCTCTGCGTGTTTAACTAGATCGTCACACTGAAAGTACCAGTGGCTAGGTCCAGAACAACTGGCAAATCTAACTCCTAAATTCAACACCCCAAAATTATTTGCTTTCAAATGGGGGAATTTCAATCACAATCAAGCCATCAACCTACTTGTGTTGCGTGCGGTATTGTGTACTGGAAACTGTTTCTTCTGAACATCACAATCAAGGCAACAACCTACTACCTGCAATAACAACTATCTATTTTGAATTCAAAAATGTTTCACGCAGAACTATTTTAAATTTTCTGAGGCATGACAAAGTTTTGTCTCATTAACTCTCTATAACAGACTTAGTGTTTTAGATTAGTCATTTAAGATTATTATATATACTAGCGAAAAGCAACCCGTAATACGGGTTTTGGTCGGTCTGTTACATAATTAATTTATAGTGGCTAATTCCAAAATTTATTGTTCCAAAACCTTAACTAATACCCTTTTAAAAAATCGCCTTCAGCTTGAAAAAATTAATCCATCTGTAAAATTAACATAAAAAGTATTAGGAGATAAAATAATTTACCAACTGCTACTTAACATTTACAATTACTGCTTAACATTATTTGAGTAATTTACAAATGGCATAGGTCATAACAGTGTAAGTCAGAACCATTTTCATCGACCTTCCTAAGTTTAACACAATACGTTTTTAGTTACTGACACAAAATAATAACACTTTGTCATGCTTTAAATTGACGAAAGTATCAACTAAATCCTTATAATAATTTTTATAACACGAACCATTAAGATTAAAATGAAGTTAAATTATATTATACAGGAGTTATCAATTTTTTGGTATCCCCTTGATAAATTTTTCTTAAGAAGAGAAAATTGTTAACTTAAAAATGTTAAATGCACATATTTAAATAAATTTATTAAAAATATCAAAGTTTATTATAAATAACTAAGCAACTGAGAGCAAATACGTTTCAATCAAAAAATATTTAATTTACGATCAAAGATCATAATATATTTGGGTATAATAAATTTGAAAAAATATGTAAATTTAATGCATTAATGCATCATATGACAAACCAAAAATAAAAATTATAACAGATAAGTAGACATAAAAATTTAAACCAAGCTGAATCGACCCGGGTCTTGTTAAGTCTGTTTAACACTGACCATTTCTATATTATTTGTTTGGCCTCTTTATTTCATTAATTTTTAATAAACGGTAATTTGCCACCATTTACTAAAAGTTCCTTTTATAACTCGAAATTTAATTATCCTAAATATTTTGACTCTAATAAAGAGGTTCCTTCCCTCTTTTTGCTTTAATGGTGACCAGGTGAATAAAAAAAAATAATAAAATGTAAAACAATGATCTACATATATAAGAATGTTTTCTTTCTTTCCTCAAAAGTGTTGCAAATACAGACCAAGCTAAATAATTAGTTAAACACATAAATAAAACTTGAGTAACTCGATATTAATGCGCAAAACTACAATATTCTCCATGTTTTTAAAGGTTTTTAGTTACAACCCCCCATTTACAAAGATCCCCTTAAAATACGTACAACAAATTATTAGGCATAAAATAGATAAAATATAAAATTAACTAATAGCATATATTTATATCTTTTTAACTAATAAAAATTTACAATAAAAAGAAATCAGGTTTTTTTATTTTATAAATCTTATAAATGCGTCATAACGTAATACTAAAATAAAAAAAGTAATGAAATTCTGATATCATAATTACAAAGAAAAAAAAACAAAAACCACTACACAACTACCGAAAATCAATTTACCTATTTATAGTAACCTATTTTGAAATTGAAGTTAAAGATTTATCGAAAATGTAATTATAAAATCTGTTTCGAAGTACAAAAGCATTAACAATACTAAAAAAAAATCAAACTAAGATATAAATTGTTGTCTTGGCTTTTATAATTTAAACATATATCCAACTATATACAAATATGACTTTATGTAACACATATAAACACATTTTACACATATTGAATGATAGATGTATTTATCAAAAACTATGAAAAAAAATAAATAATGATAAATAAAGTTATACATACAAAATGTGCTCACAACCTTTAACAGTAAATTTTCGAAATGAACATCTTAAGACTATAAATTAAGAACTTTAAAAAATATAACAAAATTTATGTTACAATTTTTTACCTTCTATACCTTGAATAAGATGTTTATCAATTTTGAAAAACAAACTATTAAATGCTCTAGTTCTTGAAAATGCAACATATGAAAACCAAAATTTTTTATATAATATATATATAGTATATTTGATAAATAAACCTCTACAATTTTTTTGGTTCAACAACTTGATTATGATTAATAACAACTCTGTAAATATAAATTTTCTAATGATCTAAATCTTTATAAATTAGATATTTTATTTTTTATCTTAATTTTAAATTAAATATATTATATTTATCTTAACTATAAATTAAATCTTCATAAATTAGATATAAATAGAAAAAGAAACATATAATAACACAATTATATCCTAAACCAAAATTCAATCATGCAAGGCAAATTATTAAACTTTTTGAAAAGAAAAAAAACATATTTTTTTTCAAAGAGCCAAAGTATTAACAATACTATAGATAAATTTTATTTATAACAAAATGTTGTCATAGCTTTTATCCCAATTATTAAAAGCATTTGAAAGCATGAAACTACCCATAAATATCTTTTAATGGTAGACACCATCTAAGAATTATAGTAATCTATATTTTCAATATTTACATGTATAACACGAAGCTTTAAATTTAAAAGTAAAATTTAAAAAAGATTACAATAAACTATTTACTTATAAAATTTTAAAAAGATTTTATAAATACTCAATGTCTACTTAGACATTTTGAAAAGATAACGATTTTGAAAACTTGAAACTTTAAATTTAAATTTAAAAAAACTGAAACTTTAATTCTACCTTAAAGAAAACAGATATATATTGAAAAGTATTTTTATTTCTTTTTAAAAATTTAAAAATGCTTTAAACTTACTCCCTCTAATATAATTATATAATATATATAGTATGTATGATAAATAAACCTCCACAATTTCCTTGGTTTAACAACTCGATTACGATTAATAACAACTCTGTAAACATGAATTTTCTAATAACCTAAATAAATTACAGATAGACAAACATAAATAACACAATTAAATCCTAAACCAAAATTCATTCATGCAAGACAAATTATTATATATTTATTGAAGAGCCTGAAACATATTTTTTTTTAAAGAGCAAAATTATTAACAATACTAAAGATAACAAAATTTTCAATAAAAATTAAATTAAGATAAATTTATAACAAAATGTTGTCATGGCTTTTATCCCAATAACCAAAACTATGTGAAGGCATGAAACTACCCATAAATATATTTTAACGCTAGAAACAATCTAAGAATTAAAGACGAAGCTTTAAATTTAAAATTACAATTTAAAAAAGATTACAATAAATTAATTACTTTTAAATTTAAAAAAGATTTTAGATTACCTATAATTTTAAGCTACTAAACATTATCTACTTAATGTCAACTTGGGCATTTTGAACTTGTACCATGAAAGGTTGAAAGGAAATCTTTAAGAAAGCATTCGGAATTAATTATACAGATTATTATTGTTATTCAGATTGTTCTAATAAATCGCTTGTACAATAAGTCACTTCAACAGGTCCTCAATCATTTCTTGGACTCAAAGTCTGTCTCATTAATTCTCCTTAACAGACTTTTTGTTTTAGACTATTCATTTGAGATTACAGATTGTTATTTTTTGTAATCACTAATCAAAAGCTTTCACAACAAGTCACTCCAACAAATAATCAATCATTTCTTTGACTCAAAGTCTAAAAAGTCTTAATCAACAGCATTTGTTCTTTATCTAAACTTTATCAAGAGGTCATAAAAAAAATTTCAAATAAATTTAAAAGACTAATGATCTGTTTACTTTTTTGCCAATATTGTTTATGTGTGTGTGTGTGTGTGTGTGTGTGTGTGTGTGTGTGTGTGTGTGTGTGTGTGTATGTGTGTATTTGTGCTTGTGCACAAAAACAATTATTTTGAAACTTCCATTTTACTTTAGGTACAAAGGTGTATGCATCAAAAAGCATTAGAAGCAGATCTTCTTAACATGCAAAATGAAGTTTTGGCTAGGTATTATTAATTCAGCAGATCATACTCTTTATTTTTTTTTTTACATTTCAGTAATTATTTAACTTGTTTTTTTAGTAGGAGGCAACAAAAGCTTCAACAAGAATTGATCGATGCAGCAAACGAACCTATTTTTCTACCACCTGTGTAATAAATAAAACAAGTCATTATATACTTACATTAAATAGTTATTATTTATATGCATAATTTTTATGGAATTAAAATATTTGAACTTATAACAAATGGTGGTGGTTGTGGGTGGTATTAAAAATAACCCTGTAATACTTAGATTATACAACTTAGCTAACAGACTTTTAAATCAAATTTTTGCAAGCTAATTAGAAAAACTAGACACAACCATCTTATTGGAGGGAGAGACCATTTTATTTTTCTGTTTTTCTTAACCTTTAATATGATGCATTTAAAAGTATATTGTGTATACTAAAACTCTGTTTTTTTAGATGGTTAGTAAAAGCAGCTTTTTTGAAAATACCTGATTCAACCCCCTAAATGTGTTTAATACAATAAAATAGGACTGTGTTTAAAGATTTCGAAAATAAAAGATGTTTTAAGCGGTTCCTCAAGACCTTTGAATATTTATTGGGTCCTAAATATTATTTAAAAAAAAGTTCAACCTGAATCTCAAAAGAAGAAAAATTATATCAAAATTACAAAAACAATAATTATTTTATACAAAATGATCATTTTAGATTTGATTGCATAAAAACTAAGGTTTTTTAAATTAAAAAAAAAATATTCATTTTACATTTTTTTTTTATAACAAATTATTTTTTAATTAAAAACCCATTAACATAACATAATATATTTTTGTATTAAAAACCCATTTAGTATTCAATAAGGTTTGTAGGATCTTCTAAAAATATTTTTTATTCAAAGATTTTTTAAATCCAGTGTTATTTTATTATATTAAACAAATTTAGGAAGTTAGAGAATTCAAAAAAATTGCTTCTATGAACAACCTTAATGTCCAAAAAGGTTTTTTTTATATAATTGTAAAATTTTAAACACATATTAAAAAATAAAAAATAAAAAAATTACATTTTTATTATTATTTTTTAGATCATCAAGCCCTGAAAATGGTAAAAGATCTTCAAGCTATTCTAGCCTAGGAATGATCTGCTTAACTTCTGTGCCAGATCGACCAACACAATCAACAGTAAGTTCTGTTGATATAAGAATAAAGTGGAACTTCTTTTATTCAATTTTTTATATAACATTTATCTTTTCTACACAAAGCATTTTTAAAAGGTTTGGTAAGATCTTGTTTAAGGACTAATACCAAGTATTATTATTAGTCCTTAAACAAGATCTTAAAAAGATCTTGTTTAAGGACTAATACAGATACTTAGCGGAAAGGATGCCAAGTATTTCTCTTTTACTATTCACTTTAAAAAGAAATAAGAAATCTTTATAAATTGTACGAACAGAGTTTTTTTTTTATTGACAAACTCTGTTCTTAAACAAACTTGGTTTTCTGTTTAAACAAACCTGGTTTGTTTAATAAAATGATCTTTTAAAAACAGTAGAACAGTTTTTAAAGAGTCAAATGCATATATATAGATATGCAATTTAGTATTTTATCATTAATTAGCATTAATGATCATTAATTAGCATTGTTATGTTTTCTTTGTTATGGTTTTTAAATATAGCATCTATAGTTGTGACTAAGCAATTCATTTAAATGTAGCATCTGTAGTTTTGTAACGTGCATCTCATTTAAATGTAGCATCCATAGCTTTGTGCCTAAGCAACTTATTTAGATGCAGCATGCATAGTTTTGTAACTAAACAACTCATTTAAGTGCATGCATAGTTTTGTAACTAAACAACGTATTTGAAAAACTCTACAGTGTAGCAACTGTGACACTTATTTAATTTTTGCAGGAAAAAAATTTGGAAAAAGGATATCAAACTTTCTGGTTTTATTCTACTTTGCAGGCTTGTATATTTCTATTGTTGTTGTCATTATATTACACGTTTTCATTAAATGCAAATTTCTTTTTTTTTATGTCAAATAGGAGTGCCATGAAGAAGAAGTCATGACAGTGCGTTTTAGTCCTTCTGGAAAATACTTTGTAACAGGTGGTTCAGATCGAAAAGTTAAAATCTGGGAAATAGATGGAAGAGGTATATTTTTTGACAATAAATTTTTGTATATAATTATGCAAATAAATATATAACATTTATAAAGTTTAGATAAAAATAAATAGATAAAATTTGTACATAGGCCTTGTTATAAGATTTTATTGTGTAACGCAAGTAAATGTAACTTTATAAAATATACATTTGTCGTTAAAAGTTAAATTATCTCAATGGCATATTTTAAAGTACTGCATTGTAATTACTTTTTATTTGAAACCACGTTAAAAATCATTAAAAGTCATATCTTTAAATTAAACAATACTTTTGTAAAAAAAATTATAAATAAAATTGTTGTTGTTCGAAAAAAAAAATTTTTTTATATAAAAAAAGTTATACTTATTTAATTGTATTTTTAAGTAATTTATTTAATCACTTGATAATTAAGTTTTATTACATTCATATTTCATTTATGTAATTAAGTATGTCTAAGTAAGCTGACTTACTGAGTAGTTCAGTTGCGAGTGAGTATAGTGAGTCAAAGATAAATGTTAAAAATTGCTCATGGCTTTATCATTGAGCTTCACAAAAGAGTTAGGAATTTCACACCACATTTCTTATTGATGTTGCAAATATAGCCATAGCTAACATTCAATCACAGACCTCTTGATATAGAGGCAAGTGGTCAAATATTCCTGTTAGAAATACAATTTTTGTCTGCAAAAGAATTATCAATCATTTTCACAAATTAGATCAAATTGCAGTCCTTATATATTATGTATTACAGTCATTATACACTATTATCATATTATATTTGTGGGTTGTTAGAACTAGCATGAATATAATTTAGCGTTATATATATATATATATATATATATATATATATATATATATATATATATATATATATATATATATATATATATGTATATATATATATATATATATTTATATTATATATATATATATATATATATATATATATGTATATATATATATATGTATATATATAAATATATATATATATATATATATATATATATATATATATATATATATATATATATATATATATATATATATATATATATATATATATATATATGTATATATATATATATATATATATATATATATAAATATATATATATATATATATATATATATATATACATATATATATACATATACATATATACATATATATATATGTATATATATATATATATATATATATATATATATATATATATATATATATATATATATATATATATATATATATATATAAAAATTAAAAATAAAAAAAAATTTTACAACTTCAAGTAATATATAAAAGAGTGAAATTAAAAAAAGTATAAAAAAAAAAAAAAAAATTAAAAAGTTTGAAAAATTTAAGTTTTAAAAATAATTTTTTTAAGTTTGACAAAACTAAAAAGTTTTAAAAATAATAAAAAATTTAAAATGTTTGAAAAAAATAATTTACAAATTGGTATATATGCGTATACATATTCAATAAACTTCATAATATATATTTAAATATACAAAAGATATTTTAAATTTTAAAAGATTCAGAACATTTTATAGATTTAAATTCATCATTCATATTTTTTTTAAAAACAAAATTAAAACAGACAAACAAATAGAAACAAGAATATATATATAAATACATAAGAAGGACATACATACATACATACATACATACATATATATATATATATATATATATATATATATATATATATATATATATATATATATAAATATATATATATATATATATATATATATATATATATATATATATATATATATATATATATATATGTATATATATATATATATATATATATATATATATATATATATATATATATATATATATATATATATATATATACATACATACACATACTCACTGTATGTATTTATATATATACATACATTTTTTTTTTTTTAACATCTTCGCTTCCAACAAGGCTGCAAGCAACTACTTATTAGTGTTGGAAGTTACTGGAAGCGAAAAGATGAAGAATGTAGAGCAAGATAACGATTGACATACGAATTAAAAGATTGCAAATTATATGAATCAGGAGAGCAAGATAAAGAAGTTTTTGGAGCACTTAGGAACAGTAACAGAAAAAGGATGAGACGAGTAACATGAGATGCCACCTTAGATGTGAGAATATCTGGAAGATTGTTAATGTAAATTAAAAAGAGTATAGGGCCAAGGATTGAACCTTGAAGAACCCCTGAGGTTATTGAATCAAAAGAAGAGTGCTGTCCATCAAAAACAACGTATATACTGCAATTGGAAAGAAAGGATTCAATAATCTTAAAGATGTTTCCAGATACACCATAAGAAAAAAGCTTATGGAAAAGACAAGCTTGCCAAGCTTTATTAAACACTTTAGAAATGTCAAGAGCGATGGCCTTAACCTCTCCACCTTTATCTAATGCGCGAAAAAACCTATTTGTTATTACTCTTAGCAAATCAGCCGTAGACCGAGAAGATCGAAATCCATATTGATGATCAGAAAATAAGTTATTAGATTCAAAATGAGAGATTAAGTGATTGTTAATTAAAGATTCAAAAACCTTGTTTATGATAGGAAGAAGACTAATGGGACGGTAGTTAGACGAATCAGATCGCTCTCCAGAATTTTTAAAAATAGGGATAACAGATGCTGCTTTCCAGCAGGCTGGAAAACAAGACTCTGATAAGCACTTGTTGAATAGTTTTGAAAGGATACACGACAGCTCCGGAGAACACTTCTGCAAGACTAGGTATGTTGTCCGGGCCGCAAGCTGTAGAAGAGTCTAAGCAGGAAATCACTTTAGATACAGAAGTTGGCGTGATATGGATGTTGAGCAATGGGTCAAACTGTTTGACGCCTATATCAGGTAGAACGCAACTAGTGGAATCAAGAAATGATATCGATGAAAAGTTCTTAGCAAACAATTCAGCTTTGTCTTTAGGTAAGGTGACAAAGTCTGAACCATACATAAGAGGTGAAAACATATTCGTGTATATATATATATATATATATATATATATATATATATATATTTATATATATATATATATATATATATATATATATATATATATATATATTTTTTTTTTTTTTTTTAACTAAAAAAATGAAAGAATGTATTGTTTAGATTTAGTAAGCGTTTTTTTATAGCTCTTTTAAATTTATCAATATATTTTTTTTCATATTTTCGTCAAGAACCGAGTTCCACAAGCGTGGTCCCTAACATGTAATTAATAAGTCAGATTTTTTAAGTAATGTTAGTAGGATTTAGTAATTATTTATTGATTGTCTTGATTTATATTTATGATTAATAAGAGAGAAGTTTTTATAAAAATAATTTGGAATTAATTTGTTTTGAAGTTTAAAGATAAATAACAAATTATGGTAAATGTTTAATTTGTATACATTTAGGACATTTATTTCCTTGAGTAATCGCTTGGCAAATTTGTATCTATCCATGCCTGAAACTAATCGACTTGCTTGCTTTTGTTTTGTATAAATAGGTTTTCGGAAAGATGAGTGATTATTTGCCCAGGCAATATTACAATATTAATATGATTATGTATAAACAAAAAATATAAATTTCTTAAACATATTTTATTCAATAGAGGTTTAGTCTTATATATTGTCAGGCTTGGTCGGGAAGCGGGAGCGATCGCTCTCGATTGCTGACCACGAAAATAATATTTAGTTGCGAAAAGCTGGCCAGATTTTTTAGTCGTTTTTAGAACATTTTAAAAAGCAAAAAAAAAAAAGCGACGAAGATTAATTGGACCGATGAGAGACAATTACAAAAAAAAAAAAGTAGGCAAATAAAATATCTTTAAACGCGAAAAAACTTTAAGCTAAATATTACATATAGAACAAATATTTTCTAAAAATTACATATAGAACAAATATTTTCGAAACATCGCTTTTTTACATTTTTTTTTTAAAATTAAGCGATGTTTTTTATATAAAGTAACAACTTACGATTGTTTAAAAGGGAAACAAATATTCTTTATTTAACTAAGTTTGCAAGTTTTAGTTTTACTTCAGCTTAATTTATTTTATAAATAAAAAAGTTAATTTTTTTAATACCTAATTTATGTTTCGCGTAGTTTGAAAAGTTTAACATATTTGAAGCGAGTCTTCTTAGTAAGATAAACAAATGGAATAATTAAATCATTGAAATACTATAGGAATTAAATTATCAAGATAGAAATCAACTAAAAAGGTTAAAAATACTTAATGACCAGGAAGCGAAACTGCTTCACAATATCGGTAATGATGTTTAGTGAGTGGGCTTTTTAATTTTAATTAGTATTTAAAGCAGAAAAAAGAATAACGAGTTTTAAGAATGGCAACTTGAGCGAAAATAATTAGAGTTAGTAAACCAATATCTAGAAACTTTTCTTTATATCTATTTATTTGCTATTATATATTTGTGTTCTGTCGTGACCTCAGGCGCGATGCTTGTTCATCCGCGAGTTACTTTGTATGCGTTGTTTATGTAACAAACATATAAACTTCTTATATGTTTGTTACATAATTAGTTTTAACTTTAACGATAATAACTTCATTGAAAACGCAATTATTTGTGTAAGTCTTTGTTTAAATCATAAAATTGCTTTAAAAGATACGTTACCATAAAAAACAAATACACAAAATTACATTTGCATAAAGAATACAATCTCTTTTAAAATAAAAAATAAAAATATACTCATAAAATCTATGATTTATAATAAACTTAAAACTTTAACAATTTAATTAATATATATTTAAAACATTTATTTTCGTAAACAAATAATATATATTCTTAAAACAATGCTATCGTGAATAATACAATTTCAAAAACATTTTAGCAGAATACTCTGAAACTTTAGTTCGCTTAATCAGCGTATTTTTTGAACCAATAGAATAAGTTTGTTTGTTAATTTGGCGGGTTTTTAGTGTTCGCAAATATTCTATTTATTCTTTCGCACAATGATGTTTCGAGAACATTCAAGTTTTTTATGTTTCCATGTATGTCCGTAAAACAAAAATTCTTTGTTTCGTACATAAACTTAAATGTTCTCAAAACGACTAAAAAACCTGGCCAGTTTTACGCATCTAAATATAATTTCCGTGGTCAGTATTCGAGAGCGATCGCTCCCGCTTCCCGACCAAGCCTGTATTGTCCATAAAGTCTTTGAGACTTTGTTTTCGACTAGCTTTATTTGGCTTTTCCAATTTAAATATTTGTTGAAAAAACTCTTTATTTTAATTTTGTTAATATTTAGTTCTGGTTCTCAGATTTAGATGGTTCAACAAACAAAATATATTTTGTTTTTTTAATATTCAATGAAAGTTTATTTGCTATAAACCACTCATTGAGATATGTTAGTTCTGTGTTTACATTACAAAAAATATTTTTTAAATTTGAGTCAGAAAATAAAACATTAGTGTTGTCATCAAAAATAATATAATTAAGTATTTTTGATGACAAATAAATATCATTAATTTAATTTAAAAACAGCCAAGGTCCAAGTATTGATCTTTGTGGAACTCCACAACTTACTGACTTAATTGGGGAGCATGTAAAATCAAATGGTAATACTTGTTTATGATTTTCTAAATTGATACCATTTTGTTGAGGGGCACATTTGTAGTACTATATTTCAAGTGCCTCACAAACTTTTTTATCAAACTTTTTAGCATTGACTTTTAGAGTTCTGCAACTGTCCCAGTTAATTTGTTGTGTACAATGTCTCATGTATGTGGCTAATGCAGATCGTTCTGTTTTATTTCCTATTGTACTATTTTTGTGTTGTTGCATGCATGTTTTTATTTGCATTTTTGTTTCACCTATTCACTTTTTGCTACAATGACATTTAATAAGGTAGACTCCTGGGTGACTGTTCATTTTTAGTTTGGATTTATTTCTTAATGTTAATAATGTCTCCAGGTTCAAGTTTGATTTAAAGTCCGTTTTATATCCTGCCTTCCTAAACACTTTACGCAATTTTGGAGACAATTTTGGTATCCAAGGTAACGAAATGGTTGGATACGTGCTGGTGATGTTGTCAATGTTTTTAGTAGTCACTGGAGATTTTTTGTACTTTTGTTTTATTTCTTTTATGATTTTCATGAGATTAGACTGTTTGTAGAGATTTTCGACAAATACTTGATTAAGGAATTTCAGTTCATTTTCTATATGTTTCTGACGGCATACAATCAATGCTCTATGTACGAAAGCCTTAAATATTCCATTTAAAAGTTGTGGGTCATGGTTTGATGTTGCCTTAACTTCCAGACGTAAAATAATAGTAGTTTTATTATATGCATCTTTCTGCAATTTTTATCAAGCAAATTTTTTTTTACTTTTAAATGATTTTTTAAATGATTTATTAATAGGTTCATAATATAGTTAAAAAAAAAAATCAGTCTTAGATTTAAAGTGTTGCGCTAGACTAGTAAAAAATGCAATAGTATGCAAACAAGGAAAAGATTTGTTGATCAATTTTTTTAATGTGTAAAAACGTGTCGTCATTAACAATTGTCATTAACATTAACAAGATCATTCATTTAAAAGTTAAAAAAAACTTTTATTTTTAATTTTTATTGACGTCAGTTATTCTCTATTTAAGGTTTTTCAATAATGTTTAATAAAAATGTTTAATAAATTATTTTAATAATTTAATTTTTTTATTCAAAAACTCTTAATTTACATTTTGTCTGTTTATCTAAAGTAAGGAAAGTTACAGAGAAATTTGCATATTAATAAATATTATACTTTAAAATAAGTTTATAAATTTTATTATAAAAGATTTATTAACACTTTCAGTAAAGTAAATTAGCTGGTAAAGTAAACCAAAAATAACAACAACAAAAAAATCAACAAAAAAATCTTGCAATGAAACGTATTATCTGTTATATTTGCGTAAAAATTTACATGTATATTTAAAGTTTAGTTATGTAAGTTATTTTTAGTTTTTAGCGCCACCTCAAGGCGGTAAGGTATTGGTTTTTGCAAGGTTTTTTAAACCTTAACTATATTCAAGGTTTAAAAAAGCACACACCTCGCAGCCTTGAGGCAGCGCTGTTTTAAACATTGGGGTTGCCAATCATTTGGTCTATAGGAAATAAAATACAAACCTGTAAAAATATTTTTTTTTTACTGTGTTTTCCTTTGTAAAAGTCGAAATTCTGGCAATCCTACTTATAATGTATAGTGTTTTTATCAACAGTCATCAATTAAAAAGTCGTTTTAGCAATTTTTACTTCTATTTTCTTTTTCTTTTTCCTATATTTTTTATCTTTTATTTTATCTTTTGTTTTATCTGTCTGTATATTAAAAAAGAATGAATGAAGGTGAGGCTTAAAAACTAAGAAAAAATGAAATTGGATTAAGCTAGTCTACTTCAGTATTTAAACAAAAAATATATTAGAAATAAAATTGACTTTATAAGCTGCTAGTTTCTAAAATTAGATATATTGATAATGAATAAAAATGTCTTTTATTACAGGGGGTTGCTTTATATTTTTCATGTAATTGTCAGAGTTTACTTTATAGTTTTTACAATTTTAAAATTATGGATTATTAGAAACAGTTTTTTAAAATATACTTGTATTTATAAAAATGAGTTTTTTGTTTTTAAACAAATTTGCTTCTTTATCAGATCTGCAGTAAAAAAAAAAAATCCTGAAAAAAAAAATTGCGTTTTTCAAAAAAAAATTTTTTTTTTGAAAAACTTGATTTTTTGCCAGAAAATTTCCGTTATATTACAGAAAAATCAGTCACTTGTTAACGGAAATATCCTTTTAAATACGGAAATATCTGTTATTCCGATGATAGATATTTTCCGTAATTTATACGGAAGTTTCCTTCCACACTTTATTTTTCCGTAAAATAACGGAAACTTTCTAGGAAAGCTAAACAAAGGCAGTTTTAGTAAATATGGTAATCTGTTTGGCTTGTTAACTATTAAATTTTGAAGGCTGTATATTATCATTGTTTTATTTTTAAGTTTGAAAATCCTCTGGAGTAAATTTAAATATGTATGCAATGCAATGCAAATGAATTTCATAGTGTATGTAACTACATGCAATGCAATACAAACAATTTTAAAATGTATTTAACTGCATGCAGTGCAATTCAAATGACTTTTAAAAAATAATTAATGCATTTCATTTAATGAGTTTTCTTTATTTTTTTGCTTTTGAATTCAGGAAAAATTGATCTTGGCTTCGTCAAATGATAATGCTTGTTGGATATGGAGTATAAATGATTTAATATTACGAGTAAGTTACCATTTTTATCAGTATCTAGATAGATACTGAAATATACTATATATTATCAATTTTAATGTGCCATTAGTTTTTCTGAAATCTCTGTATAACACTATATATGTATATATATATATATATATATATATATATATATATATATATATATATATATATATAATATATATATATATATATATATATATATATATATATATATATATATATATATATATATATATATATATATATATATATATACAGGCCTTGTTTTAAAGCGTTACGCCTAGAGCGATTTACGTACGCCTTAAGCGCTTTTTACGTACGCCTAGAGCTGTTTTGGTTAAGCTACTTTTTATCATTTTTTAACTTTTAAATTAGCGGTAACATAAAAGAAGTAATTAATTTTCAAAAAAACCACATTAACTTTTAAATAACGATATGTAAAGGTATTTATTAAAAAAAAGAATTTACTTTAAAATTAATTGTTGTAACTTTTCATCGCGATATATCTTTCCTTTTTATAGCAATTAATTTGACGCTAAACTTTTTATCCAAATTTTTAGCAACATGAAAAATTGTTTGTCAATCCTTAACTACAAATTTTTTGGAATGTTTTTAATAAAAAGTAGTAAAGTTTTTAGTAAAAAACTTTTCAAAAATCTATATTTTATATTTATTAATTCAGAATATAAAAGTTTTTTGTAATATAGATTTTTTATGAATTTTTTACTGAATTTATAATAAAAAACATTTGCAAAAAAATTTGTAATTAAGAATTGACAAATTTTTTAATAAAATCTCAAAAAATGTCTTAATATTTTTGTTATCATGATAACAAAAATATCAAGACATTTTTTCGAGATGTTAAAAAAATGTCTTTGCTTTTCTTATTAGTTTAATAGTATATAGCTTATAGTTAGTTTAATAGTATATAGCTTTTCTTATTAGTTTATTAGTATATAGTTTAAGTTATGCGGAAGGAAGGGGTCGGCACAGAAAAAGAAATTACCTGTTACTCGCAATATTTGAATGAAGACAATTTGTTAAAATTCTTCTGCGTGCGATTCAATAAGTTTTTTTTGTCATAAATCAAGTTATAATATAAGGTAAAGAAATCATGAGTAGACTACAACATCCGCTGATGACACTAATATTACGTTGAATATATTTATATAACGGAGGTTTTATTATGCACGCGCACATTACAGGTTCCGTTAAATAAATACTAAGGCACGTTTTAGTTTAATGACAGTCTCCATTTTTTACTAATGAATATGTATTTTCTTTATAAAACAAAACAAACTAGTATATAAAAACCTTGTATATTTCTATTATCTCTAAATTATTTAAAGTTCGAATATGGATTGTACTTTGAAGGACAAAAGATTTACTTTAAAAACTTTTAAATTTTGGGACTTTGCCGATACGATGATCACAGAAAAAGAGAAGACTTACGTTATTAAAATCAAATGTAAGTTATGTGATCTTCATCAAAATAAAATATTATCTAAAAACAATAGTGCCGTAAGGGCAACTGCCCAACGGTTTATAAATAATACAAGTCATGTTAAAATATTTTAACATGTTACTATATTTTAATTAAGTTGATATATAATTAAAAATAAAAATATAGTTCAATAAATAAATTAAATTTATTCTTAACAAAGATTACCTCATATTTATTCTTTTTTTTATTTTATTAAGTTAAATTGCTTACAAACGAAAAAAAAAAAGAGTTTTGTAATTATACGTAGAATGAAAATACTTTTGAGTTTGTTTATAAGTTAAGGAACTTAATTTTTAATAAACAAATTTTTACGAACGTTTATTATAAACAGATACGATTCAAATTATTAAATATACTTAAATTATTTCAGTTGAGTATTTTTATAAGTTTGCACGATTAAAGTTTGGCGTACAAGTATTTGTTTTTTTGTTTTAAGAATAATTAATAAAAGAGTTTGCATAATTAAGACTTTTATATTTAATTTAATTTTTTTTTTAATTTCCTAAAATTAAAAAAAAAAAAAATTTAATTGTTGAAAACGATTTTTCTCTATAGCTCTGTTTCTTTGTAATTTGTTTAAAAAGTTAAATATTTTTACAATAACATAAAAAGTTTATAAATTAAATTCCTAGCGAACGCATTCTAAACTATGTATCAAAAATACGCCAAAACTTTTTTATATTTTTATACAACGCAAGTTGAAACGCTTTTAAAAATTTAAAAAATATTTAAAAACTTAAATTTTTCTTTGCTAGTCAAAACAAAATCGTTGTTTAAATAATTAACATGGGTTTGTGTTTATCAATGTTAATATTTTTTGTTTACTCTAGAAATTTTTAAAAATAAAAAAAATCATTTTTATTTTTTATTCAATAACGATTAAAAACAATTATTCAAAAACAAATTTCAGAAATAATATATATATATATATTTTTTACTAAATAATATTGAACTAAAATTAATAATAAAATAACAGTTAATTGTTAAATTGAATTAGTTTGCGGTTATTTATTTATTGCGGTAGTTAAAACACTTAACGCTTATATATATATTATATATATATATATATATATATATATATATATATATATATATATATATATATATATATATATATATATATATATATATATATATATATATATTAGCTGATAATACACAAAAACCTGTCTATACAATAAAATTGAAAAAAAAGTTAGTTTATATTAAAAAATGATTTATATAATGTTCCTTTGCAAACACCAATATACTATTCTTAGAATTTTTAAGTTTTACTGAACTAAATTTAACTAATGAATTTTAATTTTCACTGAACTGCAGTTACTTTTAATCTTTTTGGTTTAATGACTTTTTATAAAAGCTTTCAAAGTCTAATTCATTTCATAATTTTCGTTGCATCATCCACATAATTATTATTAAATTTTTTCCTCAGACATTTTTCAGACCATTTGCAGCTTACTAGGACTAGTTACCTGAGCTCATTAATAATATAAGTATCTCGATCATGACACATACGCAACAAATTTTTTCTCCTGGTGTTTCGATGTTTTTAGCTTTTGTAAAAATCTTTTTGTTAGTGAAAGTGTATAATATCGTTACATGTTTGTATATAACCTATCTCTTTAAAACTTTAAAAGTATTTTGTATTTTAAAATTATCGAAAGAAATTAAAAAAATAAAAGTCACCAGTGGTAGGACTTGAACCACAGCTTTTTTGTTTAGAAGCTCTGCACGCTATTCACTCAGTCACGCTGGCACATTTCAGGGCTCAAATTAAGTGATCGCGAATATCCGGAAATATCTGTGGTCATTAAATTCTTATTTTTTTTAAAAACCGTAAACACTGTTTTAATGAATTTATAAAAACTGTTTTAATGAGTTTATCATATTGCAATTTTTAATGAAAAAGAAAAACAATAAATTTACTACTGCAGTAATAATAACAGTCAAAATTTGTATATTATTAATTATTGTTTTTTAATTAATAATTAATAATATGTAATTTAAGGATTATAAATAAAAAAAGTTGCAAGACAAAAATTATTATTACTAAAGGTACGAAAAACTTTTGCGGTAATTTAAAAATCAACTAATGAAAAACTATGCTTAAGCCATTTGCGCAATGTATGAAACTATGTATAAAAGAAAACAATTAAAAAGTATGCTAAAGCTACTTGCACATTATATAAAACATTAAAATAGATTTTTATTTAGGGGGAAAGTTTATGGAATTGTTTATTTAAAAATTTAAATGTTTCGAATTAGAATTTAATTATTTTAAGAAAAATAATTTTTTAAATATGTTATTAGAGTTTCTTTTTGTTTTTTGTTTTAAAGTAACTATTAAAAAGTTTAAATTAGTTTTTATATATTAACTCCTCCATCTTTTAATTTTATATTTGTATCAGCCTAAGCGTTAAATTTATAATAAAATATTGAATGAGATTTAAATAAGATATAAAAGTATTTTATATCTTATTTAACAATTTCTTTTATTTAAAATATTCGATCACTGTTAAAGTCCTTTAGATTGTTGTGATTAGTGCTTGTTTTTTAATATTTATATCGTACATTATCGTGCTTTATTTTTCTAGTTTTATCTGATGTTTAATAAAATAAATTAAAATATTAAAGTTTAAATATATATGTATATATATATATATATATATATATATATATATATATATATATATATATATATATATATATATATATATATATATATATATATATATATATATATTATATACATATATATAAATATATATATATATGTGTATGTATATATATATATATATATATATATATATATATATATATATATATATTATATATATATATATATATATATATATATATATATATATATGTGTGTGATTGTTATTTTTTTACGTAACAATTTTATTTAAAGGGATCCCCTACTGCCGAGACAAGTTGTGTTCATATTTAAGAAAATGATTAAAATTAAAATTTTGGGCTGATTTTTTTTTTTTTTGAACTAAATAATAAACGCATACCAACAAAATTAAAGTTATCGTGTTAGTCGAAGCTCGCCTTCTTTTTCTTTTTTTGGTTCTAGGAGTCTGTATAATGTTAACCGTAATCTACAGACTTGATAATTTATTAAATGCATATTTAATTCATAACAGCTTCAGTATATGATGTCATCACAATGTCTTTTTAAGATAGCCTTTTTTTGTTATAGTATTTTTAAAGATAAAAGTATTTTTTCTACTACAATGAGAAAATCAAATATTTGTATAGTTTATTACTAAATCACAAAAAATATTTATGATTTAGTAAAAAATTATACAAATATATATATTTTTTTATATTTATAATTTTTTTTTTACTTGCTTTATTTTTACTTTGTTTTAGAAGCCAGTCAAAATCATGACACAATTTTACATATTTTGTGATTATTATAGTTTGCAGGCAGAGAAAAAATAAAGGCAGTATGATGCGGTTTCTCGTTTTATATTTAGTTCATATGGTTTAATAGAAT